ATATATGTGTGTGTGTGTGTGTGTGTGTGTGTGTGTGTGTGTGTGTGTGTGTGTGTGTGTGTGTGTGTGTGTGTGTGTAATTTGATATAATTCCAGCGTTGTGCAAGAAGCTGCAGTGTTTGTTTACGCAGCTTCTGTATTTTTTTATGTTGTTCTTTAAACACTTCCTGTTCTCGGTACACAGAGTTCTGCTCAGCGACGTCACTCTGAGTCGTGTTCTGGTCGGACGCAGCGGTTTGGCGGGAGTGTTGCCTCATCTTTAATCTGGTTAATCTGTAAAGGACTTGTCAAGACACGCTGTGAAAACACAACAAGGCCTGATTCAGGACTGCTGTGAGAAGTCCTGACAGACGAGCCGGTCTGGGTTCAGACCAGGACTCAGAGGTTTTGTTTTTGTCTGGCGACGTAAAAACTGAAAATTATTATTAATATTTTTAAATCTCTGTAAATAAGAAACTAATTTTATTTCTGGGTTTTTAAATCTGGATTAAACATGAACTTTCTGAAAGTTCACTTCATATCCATCCAGTGGTTCATGAGATATTTTGCTAACAGACACAGCTAAAAACACCATCCTCTGAGGAACACGGGTCCGGTTCAGATCCGGTTCTGTTTCGTTATTTATAGGACTGTAAAACATTTCAGGTATTTGACCTTTGACCCTCGCTGAGGTCAGGTGTGTCATCATGAAGCAAACGTGTTGCTTTGCGTGTCGGCCATGTTTTTGTCTGTTTTTGTTTGTGGCCTTCAGCTGTAAACTGGGGCGGGTCAGAACTGCACGTCTCTGTGCTGACCTTCAGGTCCAAGGATCAGCCTGGTCCTTCTAATGACCCAGACCTCACGTGAACCGTGTCGGCCCCCCGCCCCCCTTTGAAGGGTCACGGTCAGATCTGTTTACCTCAGGGGACACAGAGCACGTCCCACCCCCAGGTGGACTGGGTTCAGCTTACAGAGGGGATTCCTCCAGTCCTGGATCAGCTGTTAAAACCAGAACCGGGTCTGGGTTTGGATTCTGCTCATAAATACGAGCAAAATGAATCAAAACATTAATAAATGTTTCAAATTCTTCCTCTGAAGCTTCAAAATGAGACGTAGTTTGTTCAAATTAAGGTTTTATTGCTTTAGAACAGCGGTGTCCAGACCTGGTCCTGGTCCTGGAGGACCACTACCCTACAGGGTAGTTGTTTTCCTGCTCTTCAGCGGGTCTTCGAGTTCTGCAGGAACCTGAGTCGCTGCAGGTCAGATGTGTTGAAGCAGAGAAGGACAGTGGTCCCTGAGGACCTGGATTCAAGACCAGGACTGGGGACCACTGGTCCAGAATGATGTCATCTGTAATTTATAAATAAAAGAGGATTGCAAAGGCTTCACATTAAACGGTGGCATTTCCTGACAGAGAAAATGATTTCTGAAGACAAACGTGTTAAAACTTAACTGTAGATTAGGATTGTTATGCTGCTTTATGTTCTGGGATTAGATGGTCATTATGTCATATTTTAATGACATTTTTTAGATGTCACCTGTTCTAGTTCTTTCAGCTGATGTGAAACAGCTAGAATGTTTGAAATGTTGTTTGTTTTTCGGCTGCGGGAGCGGCTGAAGCTCCGCCTCCCTGCTCTGAAGCTCAGTTATTCGCTCGTCGTCGCAGAGCTCCGTGTTTGTGCCTGAACGTCATCATCGGAGGAGGAGGAGGAGGAGGAGGAAGGGGCTCCAGGCTGCCCACCATGTCACAAGTTAGAAAAGGTCCTGGTATTTTTCCACTGGCTGAAGAAAAGCGTGTTTTTCTTTGGGTGGAAACCTGCATGTTTGTGTGAAGTGAAGCAGCTGAAGACTCAACAGATCCTATCAGCAGCCCACAGTCAGCACGCTGCTTTTGATTCGTTTTATTTCCTCAACTCGTCTCGTTTTCTAGGAAATCTGCTGCATTTGTATCCGTTTGGATCAAAATGTGAGCTTTAATTTGGAGAGGAAAAAAACACATTTTATCTAATAATCACTATTTACAAGCTGATTCAAAATGGCTGCCATCAACCAAAATGTTAAGATGCATGAAAAACGTCTGCAGAAAAAAAAGTTCTGTTTTGACCGAGAACAGTTGAAGCTCCACTGGAGGGTGGATCTGTCAGGTTCTGGTACCAGTTCTGGGTCAGATGTGAGGTTCTGTTCCCTACAGAACTCTATAATCTGGTTTTTCAGATTCTGTCAGCTGGGATTATCTGTGTCTTATCACAGATTAAAGTACGCTGATAAACACCCAGAACCTGAAATGACCCGGGTGCTCCTGGGGACAAAACAAAACCCCACATTATTGTCTGTTCAAAGTTAAGAGTCCACAGCTCCAATTTTACTGACTGTAACTAAAACAACGTGATCATTGCACTTAATCTTCACTCAAACAAGGGTGTAAACAGATTAAACATCACTCTAATAACAAGAGCAAAAAATAAATAGTAAGAATTAGTCAGTTATTTAAATTAATAGCTACCTTTCTTACTGCTGCATTTTCTGAGCATCATGTGGAGATTAGCCTCTCGCTCCTGCAGGGAGCAGTTTTTAGCACTGCTCTCGTCATGTCACGCTCATATTCCAAAACAAAAGCTGCGCTCTCCTTTCTTCTGTCAATCAATCCCAGAGCTAATCCACGGGATGTCAAAACTGTAAGCGTGCTGTCCTCGCTTCTGCCAGCTTAGAACCACCGACCGGACCAGAAAGGAGGTTCTGAAACAGCGCGGCTGTGTGTGGTCACTGGACCGAGGCTGAACGAACCGAGCCGAACCACAAAGCTGCTGCCAGGGTGGAGAGTAGTTGTCGCTCCGGTTTAAAACATTCATGGTTCTGTTCCCCCTCGGAAAACTTGTGAGTGACAACTTTGCACTTAGCTGCAACTCTGTTTCTGATGAAAATAGAAAGTTCTGCCGACATTCTTGCTAACTTGTTAGCGCATCATGTTGTTGTGATCACATGAGCGCTATATGCTGGATCCAAGCTCTGCTGGATAGAAACACTGGAGCGGAGTCAGTGAACTGCTGGAATGGACTGCTAATATCGGAGCGCTTATATCGGACATTTTTTATGCAGGCCGATAAAATCCGATACTCATTTTTTGGCTGATATCGGACCGAAATCTGATATCAATATCGGATCGGGACAACCCTATTTTTTTTTTTTTCATTCCACAGATCCACTGTTCGTAAAGTCTACTTTAAAGTGTAGTGATATAGAGTATTTGAGAACACTGGAGTTACCGTATCAAGTAAGAATAAATAGTCTTCTTCCTGATGGTATTCAAAGATTTAAGTTACGGGAAAATAATTACAATTTAAGGGGGTTCATTATTTTTGAAGTACATTAAGTAAGAACAAATTTGTTGAAATTTGTGTTTTGTTTTGGGGAATTTATTGTGAATTGTGGCACAAGCCATTGCCTTCTGCCCCTACCTATTTGGTCATATAGGGTTAAAGTTTTGTTTGTTTTTCTGTGGAGTGTTCTTTAATGTGACCAAATAAAATCAATCATTTATTCAAACACTGTCAGAAAAATAGATACTAAAGCTAAAATTAGCTAAACAGTAGCTAAAAGTAGCATAAGAAGCCGATTCAAACAGAACAATGTTTTTGAATTAATTAGATCAAACTATAGTTTTATTTTTAAATAAAATAAAATAGAAAAAATGAAAAGTTGTATCCGTCAGAACCTACAGAATTCCTCTAAAACTTTTTGAAGAAGAATAAATAAAACCGTTTTTCATGAAGAAGCTGAGATTGACTGATCCGCTTGTCGCCTCCTGCAGGAGCAGCTCGGAGCAGAGGAAGCTGCGCTCCCGGGACGCGGCGCGATGTCGGCGCAGTCAGGAAACGGAGGTGTTCTACGAGCTGGCCCGCACGCTGCCGCTGCCGCGCAAAGTCTGCACCCACCTGGACAAGGCGGGCATCATGAGGGTGGCACTCAGCTTCCTGCGGCTGCAGCAGCTCCTGAGACCCGGTGAGAAACCCGGCCTGAGCTCCTCTTCTGGGTCTCTGCTGGGGTTCAGCGTTTTAGACGAGGTTTTGGGGGCGGAGTCTGAACGAGACAAAGAGTTACAGTTTAGGTTTTGCTATTAATAACAATAAATTTCATTTTTATCAATTTCATAACTTTTTTTAGCAAATTAAGCAAGTGTTTTCTACTGGGCTTTTGTGTTTTTAATGAGTCACTCAATGTTTGAATGATTATAATTCAGTTAATGATCAAAAACTTTAAACTGTGGTTTTTGCATCAATTATCTCAATTTTGTTTATCTAGTTTGCATTTAGTTTTACTAATTACTCGCATTTAAATGTTCCATGTACTTTTAGAGATAAAACGTTTATAAATTGTATTTTTCAAACAGAGAAACCCTCATAATGTGAATATTCACGAGTCAAAATGTGTCTTTATTTTACTTTGTTATATTAAAGGAGAATAATTTACTAATTATAACACAGTGACGTCTTTGACAGGGCTAAATAACGTAAAATTAAAACCGATTTCTGCCTTCAAATAATTTTTTTGGTAAAGATGTCAGCTCTTACCTGGTGCGAATGTTAAAATAAAAATATAAATTCAAAATACATATAGTATACAAATTTATTTTAACTTTTTATTGATTTTTATGAATGTATGCATGTTTTATTCTGTGTACAGCACTTTGGTCCTGTGGGTGTTTAAAGTGCTCTATAAATAAAGATGCTATGGTACATAAATCTAACCTGAAAGAAAAATCTGAGTCTGATGTGTTTCTGTTTAAATAACATGATTTATTTTTTTAATCCAACAGAAGGAGGTGAGGAAGATGAGAAGGATGAAGATCCGATGGATGCGTTCTACCCCGAGGCGCTGGCCGGTTTCATCATGGTGATGACGGAGGAGGGCGACATGATCTTCCTGACAGAAAATGTCAACAAACACATCGGCATCACTCAAGTGAGACTTCGGCTGCTAACTCAGCTGAACGACTTCTTCTGCGTTTATTTTTAGCTGAACTCGGGGTGGGGGGTGAGGGGGGGGACATGTAATGATTCAATCCTGTGCGGGGTTAGATTAGATAATTTCCCTGCATGAGCAGAACACCAGGTTTGTGACTAGTGTTTCAGGAATTAGTCTGTGATGGAGGCGTTTTGTCGTCCACAGCTGGACCTGCTGGGTCAGAGTGTTTACGACTTCGTTCATCCCTGCGATCAGGAGGAGCTCAGAGATCTGCTGACTCCACGTCCAGGTCAGGAACACGGATTATTCCTACCACAGAGAGAAAAAAAAAGCACAAAGTGTTCAAGACAAACACGACTGATTGCTACCAGCTGCACTCAAAAACAGAGCTTATCACTGAGGTCATGTGAGGACAGAGTTAGCTGCTTTAAACTGAAGAACAGATCATTTAAAACCTCCTAAATGTCAGATTTGATGTCATAAACTGTTAATAAAGCTGTTAAATATTAATTGATCTTGTTTTCAGGTCTGGGGAAGAAGTTTCAGGCCGAACAGCCGAGCGAGAGAAACTTCTTCCTGCGGATGAAGAGCACGCTGACCAGCAGGGGGCGCACCGTCAACATCAAGTCTGCCACCTGGAAGGTAGGTGAACTTCAACACCTGAGGGCCGCAGGCAGGATCAGAGTCCGGATCCAGAGTCCTGCCGGGGCAGTCTGTTGTTGTTCTAAACTTTCACAGCTTCACTCTTAAATGCACACACACACAGAGACACACACACGTGAAAGTGATCCGGGTTGTAGGTCTATGTTTGGACAGCAGTCAGGTCTGTTGCGTCAACAGTTCTGTCCTCACACACACCCTGTCCATTCAAGGACTCGTCTGTTTTCTCTGTGAGGGTTGGATTCTGTGGCTGTAACGTATGAAGACACAGAGCTCCTCTTCCTCGCCGTCAGTCATCAGGACTGTTTCTGTTTCCGTCCCTCAGGTGCTCCACTGCACCGGTCACGTCCGTCCGCTCGGAGGCTCGGCGTCGACCCCCGCCGCCCAGGTGATGACGCTGCTGTGCGAGCCCATCGCTCACCCGTCCAGCGTGGAGTTCCCTCTGGACACGTGCACGTTCCTGACCCGGCACAGCATGGACCTGCGCTTCACGCACTGCGAGGGAAGGTGGGGACCCTGAGTCCTGCTGTTAAACCAGCTGAAATTTAAAAAAAAAAAAGTTTGTTCATTCGAGTGTCGTCTGTTTCCAGGGTCGCAGAGCTGGTTGGATACAAACCGGACGATCTGATTGGACGCTCGGCCTACGAGTTTTACCACGCGCTGGACTGTGAGCGCATCAGGAGGAGTCTGCAGACCTGTGAGTTTCCTTAAAGGCCCACCTTCTGTTCATGTTGTGCTTTTAATTTGAAAATGTCTCAGCTGTAGCTGAGAGTTAGCAGTTTATTTTTTAAAGTAACTTTCAGAGGGTACAGTCCGGCTAACAGCGGAACTAGCTTCTCATTTAGCGGATTAGCTTTTTTGCTAACTATAGAAACCGTTAGCGGGCCGATTAGCTTCCTCTACAACAGGGGTGGACAATCCTGGTCCTGGAGGTCCGCAGTCCTGCATGTTGTATTTGTTTCTCTGCTTCAACACACCTGATTTAAATGAATAGATTATTATCAGGCTTCTGTAATATGGAGCACCAAAACTGACATAATTACAAATAAAAGCAGAATTATGTAAATAAAATGCACCAATTAAATTTTTTAAAATGAGAACTTCATTTCCTGTTTTATATTTTAATTGGCTTTCATATTTATTTTTCCAGGTTATTTCTAATAAATTAGTCCATATATTTGAACACGTCATTTAAATTTTACTGTTTTTTTAAAAATATATATTAATTGTTTTACTTGTACATGCCTTTGTCTTCAATTTTTATACTTATGTTTATATTTTTTCTACGTGTTGCATGCTTGTGC